TAGGCCCATATTCTATGGCTTGGGCATTTTTTGGCCCAAGGTAAACAGATGGCTTGGAATCTTGGACTTCAAATTGTAAACATGTGGGCTTTAGTAATTGGAACTTTTCTTATATACTAAATTCAAACGATAAACGTATACATTTGTTTGTAGTCCTGGTCCTAGGCTTGCAAATGCTCGCTCTCGGTGGGAGATCTCACCGAACTCAAAAAGGGCAAAACCCATTGTAACTTGAAAAAAAAAATGTTGTGCATATTAGAAATGTTCTATTTGTGTGATTTTGATTTAATAAAATAGATTGATTGTACTACTTTAAAATATTAAAATATTTATAAGAAGTTCTATGTTCAATTATTGTGATCATTCGTACATTGGCTTAAAACATTTTGTGAGTATAATGCGGAGATGATTAGTATAGGCTCAAATTCAATAAATGCTTTATGAGAGGGATTACTATTAGGGTTATGATATAAATTAAAGGCTAGGTCCCCTTTTCCCACCAATTGTTAAGTATTTTTCCATAAAAAATCGTCATTCTTGTGGTGCAAGAAGCGGAAGATACCTTAGCAAATCCTTGACGAGGTGACCTTCTATCAACTTTATAAAACCTATAAAATATCTATATATGGAGTGTGTTATATCATGTACACAATTTATAAAATTGAAAGCTTGAAATGATTAATTGAAATCGACAGTTTCCTTGGTGTCAATTTTAACAAACTAATTGAAAATTTTGATTTGGGGTTGTTAGATTGTTTTTTAAAATTGTGATTAGATTCTAAGTTTAGTTGGTAAGTAATTGAGAGTTAAAATCAATATAAAAATATAAGTTGATCTAATTTAGTTAAGATTTAGAAAAACTATTAATTGAAGGTTATGATTAATTTTGAGAAATATATTGAGAATCGACTTTGGTGTCATTAGATGGAATGAGTACCTTGAGAAATTGGTACAATAGCCGAGTATTCACATGACCAACTTTGAGAAGTATATTGAGAATCGACATTAGTGTAGTTTCTGAAAGTAACAGGAAATTAGAAGAAATTGGTTTTATTCTTCCTTGAATGATGCTGTCCCTGATTTGACGTATATATATAAATCATGTATCTATATATATATATTTACATGAAATTGTTTAGATCCTAAATTACTGCCCAGTATTGAGCAATACTACCGTCGCTACATTCTGAACGCTGCAGCTATTACTCCTTGGATCAGTCTTCGATTGCTTTGATTTGGTTTCCTGCTTTGATGCGATTTCCTTATCTGCTGTGATTGTTTCCTTACTCATCCTCTGCTATGATTCTTCCATCAGTTTCCAAATTTTGGTCCCTCCACTCTCACACGACCAACTTTAGGGTACAATAGCCGAGTGTTCTTAAATGGAATGCAGACCAGTACACTGGAGACTAATGCACCGATGACGCTGGTTCAAAGATGTAGAGCTTTTATGTAGAGAGATTGGATTTGCGAAGTAAGACGTGTTTTTGGAGAAAGAAACTACTGTGCTGATGCTATGGCCTCACAATTCTATCATTTTGGAGAAATACTCACACGTTTTAAGGAATCACCGAGCTTGATTCAGGAAAAATTACTTGAAGATATGCTTTGAATTTGTCAATCTCATGTCATGAAATAATTTTCAATGAACTTATCATTGCCATTTGTACTAAAAAAAAGCCGAGTGTTGCTACAGTATACAGCCCACTAAGTTTAGCTATATATATCATTGTAGTTAAAACTTGAAATGTTGTCATTGATTTAAATAATTAACGGATAATCTCATTTTGATAAAAACAAGAGGTTTTGAGCTTAACTTGACTAATAGGTACATATAGTAAATTCAGGGATGAGAGGGAGAGAGTGAACCAACAAGTAAAAAAAAAACATCCCTCATTGTCCACTTGGTACTAAAAAAACAGCTTGAATGTCCAAAATCACTTTAGGTTTCAGAACAGTGATTTTTTACAGGGGAATCTGGAATCACCCCATCGGATAAAGATATTTCCCAGTAAAAGTAAAAATAGCTGCCCATCTACAGTCATCGGACTCATCACACATACACTAAGAACAAAAAGAAAAGGCGAAAATTTGTGAACAATTGCACAGGTAGGTCTAGGAACATTTTCCATAATATACAGATGACAGACAATACACTGTTCAACATAATGTGCTCCTCTAAACAGAAATGTGCCATCCAGCTTTTCATTCACTAGTGGAGTACCTGGTATTCCAGTACTTCTCAATTTCCTCTGCTGTCCTTCCAGGGATCCTCCCAGCAATTAGAGCCCACCTGATCAATCATTTCATGTGTTTTACAACTCTTCAGTGCTTCAATTTAGAGAAGGCCAAACCCTTTTTTTTACCTTGAATATTATTATTTTCGGTGTTCAACTTCTTTTAAAATTTTTATTTTTAGTAAATATCTTTTATAATTTGAAACTTATAAAAAATTTAAAAATTAACAATCAAATCTTTTATTTATATTTTAAATTTGAAATTATAGAAGGTCTTAATTAAGAATGAAAATTCTAAAGTATGTTACAGTAAAAGACAATAATATTTGGAGCATAAATCGGGGTTCGGCCTTTGGAGAAAGCAAACTAAAATCTTAAACCAAACAAAATGAAACAAATGAAACCATCTATTTACCTCTCCCCAACCAGGTTATACATCCTTATTATAAGCGTTTCCTCATCTTCGGAGAACTCCAATTTTGGTTCTTCATTTTTTTCCTCTTAAGCAAATATGCAGATGAATACAGCATAACATCAGAATCAAGGAAAACAAGATTACATTGAGACAAACCCAGAAAGAAGAACAAGAAATATGCTTTGCATAATTTGAGACAACTTTGATACTGGGAAACGAGTACCTTGAGAATCGGCATTAGTGTCATTAGAAGAGGAATGTTCAGAGTCGGCCATGTGAAGGTGGAGGAGACTAGACCAGAGGGGATCTTTATGTGGAATTTTAACAAGGAGCCAATGGGGGCGTTGTTCTTGGCACAATGGTGCTACTTAAGTGCTGATGCTTTTCACACTATGAATGTTAGTTGAATGTCAGCTTCTCCTGTGTAGTCTAATTGGTTTGATAGGTAGTTGAGATAATTAGTCAAAAAACAGAAAAAAGATTCTGACTTTCTCTTGCTTTTATTTTGTGGCATGCTGCAATGAGAATTAGATAATATCAAATTCATCAAAAAAAGTTGGGTAATTTAGCCTTTTGATCAATTTATATTGTCTCCCATGGTTTTAGAAGTGTATTCAAGGATGTCATGCGGTGTCTCTTTAACATCCATTGTATTTGACTTATGAAAACATTGAACATGTCTTGTTCTCTTCATGTCGCCAATTGTGTTTATCACTTTGGTAAAAAACAAGTCATCTACACCCATATCAGGCGTTTTAAGAGTGTGGATTCCCTCGAAATTGAATTGTGATCAATAACGTAGCAGCTGTCCCGCCTGTTCATGTCAAAGAAAAGAGGTTACAACTTGACTCAACTATAGGAAATGATCAAAATCTTGATTATCAAATCAAGTTTTCTATAAGAAATGGAAAACGTGCTCAATTTTCAAATCAAGTTGAAAGTACCTGAGTTCAATCATCATTTCTTATTTCTGCTAGATAACATGAGAAAATTTCAATGGAAAATTGTACAAAGGCCAATAAACAAGTCTCGTGGGGTGGCAAATGTGACCTGCAGCTAAGGACAGAATGGAGAGATATGGATTGAAACATTGCACGATTAAGTCTTGGTAGTTCTCCTAGTGTTTGGTAGAATGTCTCTGTCATGAGTGGGCAGAAAGGCTTGTGGATATGCTTCAAGCATTATTGAACTTCAAGAATATTGTATAATATCCTTCAATAGCCATAAATTTTGCTGGATAAGTTTTTGACTACTGATTACACCGTTAATAATTTGATTAGCGAATGAAAGACACCACAATCGGACATTTAATGTTTGATATCAGAATCAGACACACTAGCCTTCAACAGTAGTAGAACAGATAGGATGAAATTACAGAGAAGATTCAAGAGTCAAGACATTGTAGTAATAATTCATCATCTTCAAAACTTACAGAGGAGAAATCAGAAAGGTAGCATAAACCCCATCAAAACGCTGCCTAGACTTAAAGTAGTTTTACATGGAGAGAAAAATCACACAGCTCAAACAAGATTGCAGACATAATTCAACAGATGTTGGTGTTGGTACTAGTAAATGAGAAAGTACATGAGAAAGAAACACTGTATACCAGAAGTGTACATCAATTAGATGTAGCAGTAGCAGTAAATTGGAGCCTTGTGAAGATCATTAAACTGCTACACCTATCTTTGCCAGCTTACAACCCATGAATCTTAATGTATTCCTTCTTTGCAATCCCAGCCCGTTTACAGAACCCCCAACAACATGGAATTCAGGAACCTTATATACATATACCATAAACTCGAACAGAATCCAATATGCCTCAGAAGAATCTCAATTACCTGAACAAGGAATGGGGACACGTTCTTCCTTTGATCACCTTGAAGCTGAATAACCTGTGTTGATAAATGGTTGAAAATTTGTTCCTATAGAAGGGAAGGCATTGTTTAGTATTGGCATAGGCAAATCTGGCCAAGCTCGGGGTCCTGGACTACAGTGCCATTGCAGCAGAACTATTTCTCAAGGTCCTTGAGCATCTTATTATAGTTAAATTCCTTCTTCAAACTCTGGTCAGTTGTCAGGCTTTTCCTACTATTACGTGCTGAACATGAACATGGATGTTTTCGTTAGCTCCAGCACCGGAGTTGTCAACATTTCCCTCATATCTGTGCATCTCACGAAGATTAACAATAAATTGATAAAAATGGGTATACATTGACGTCCAGAGACATGTTAAACTAAGGAACACTGGCATACCAAAGGCATAGGAATTTGAACTTCAACATCAGATATGAAATTAATTTCGTTGCTAGAATATGGAATTTATATTGCAATTCTCTGGTTTTGACCAGATATGATGATAGCTGCAATGAAGGTAGAAAGTTAAATTAAGACAAACATCCAGAGAAAGGACTCAATGCAAGAATCACATCTATAAAGCAGCTATAAATAGCGAGACAACAATTTTTCCTTCCATTTCCATTGATTCTACCATCAATGTTTATGTTGCTGTGACACAAAAACATAACAGAGCAACCCATTCAGAAAGGAATTTTAGGTTTTTTCACTATAACAAGACTGAAATGTATCCAAAGCCACAGCTGGATCCACCGAACAGAAATAAATAAAATTTGAATTTCCTAAAGTTTCTTTTTCCCTTTCATTTAAGACAAGTTTGCATTCTTACAATTTCAAAACTGAAAACAATGACCCCTAGAGGCCAAGATGATGATCAAATTGCTACCAAAAGAAAACAGAGAAAAAAAGGGAAAAATTCCCCAGTTTCAGATGGTCCAAAGCATTAAAGAAACATTCTTAATCCTTATCCAAAAGCTGGAAAGGATATAACCAAGTTTAATCATCAATATCAGAAACATAGTTCATACAAGAAAGGTGAAGATGAAAACTGCAAAAATCTCTCAAAGATAGAAGCACCTGAGAAAGGAAAAGGAGAGATTGAATTTGAATAAGGTGGAGGGGAAGCTGGGTTAGATCTAAAGACAATAATTTTCAGAACTAAAACTAATTTAAAAAAAAGATTAGCCAATTGTTCGTTTTATAAAAGAAGAGGATTTCCCTTCACCACACACAACTTCACCCCACCAAACACACGGTAGGATTCTCTACATCCAAAAATCCTAAATTAAAATCACGTTTGGCTAAAATTTGTTGCCTCCATTTTTCTCAGTGGCTGCACAAAAATGAAGAGATCAGGAAATAGGAACCAATCCCAACTGAAAAACAGAACAAAATAACTGCACATAGAAGAAAATGATTGAATTCTGGATGTCTCAGGTGAGTCTTTTCTTGCATCTTGGAAAAACACTCATTAATCAAGAAACCCACCCCATTGGTTAGGATGGACCAATAGATGGGAACTGGCGAAGTCCCATAACAATTCAAGGATGTTTTTGAGAAGGCTACTGTTTTGAAACACATTTTTTTATCATGAGCTCTAGAATCTAGATCCTGTTCATTTCCACAACTCAATTTGATAAACAATCAAAATAAACCAGATTGATTCTAAAATTCTTCAAACTTGAGAAGTTAAAATAAGCAAATCGACAACAGAAAATTAATCAGAAACAATAAGATTGGGGGTGAAAAGCACTAGAATTTATTCAACAATTCGAGGATAATAACATAGGAGAACTGAAAGTTTTTCTTAAGGGACTCATCATCCCTTACAACAGAGGAATAGAGAAAACACACAACTTGATTCTTGAACAGACGGCAACACCAGATCAACAGCCACTTAGAAACCCCCACGCAGACGCAGGACAAGGTGAAGGGTGGACTCCTTCTGGATGTTGTAATCCGCCAGGGTCCTTCCATCCTCCAGTTGCTTCCCAGCGAAGATCAACCTCTGCTGGTCTGGAGGGATACCTTCCTTATCCTGGATCTTTGCCTTGACATTGTCAATAGTGTCCGAGCTCTCCACCTCGAGGGTAATGGTCTTCCCGGTGAGAGTCTTAACAAAAATTTGCATTCCACCACGCAGACGGAGGACGAGGTGGAGGGTTGACTCCTTCTGGATGTTGTAGTCGGCCAGGGTGCGGCCGTCCTCGAGTTGCTTACCGGCGAAGATCAGACGCTGCTGATCTGGTGGGATACCCTCCTTGTCTTGGATCTTGGCCTTGACGTTGTCAATGGTGTCGGAGCTCTCAACCTCGAGAGTGATTGTCTTGCCGGTTAGGGTTTTAACGAAGATCTGCATGCCGCCACGGAGACGGAGCACAAGATGGAGGGTGGATTCCTTCTGAATGTTATAGTCAGCCAGGGTCCGGCCATCCTCGAGCTGTTTTCCGGCGAAGATCAGACGCTGCTGATCCGGTGGGATGCCCTCTTTGTCCTGGATCTTGGCTTTGACGTTGTCAATGGTGTCGGAGCTCTCAACCTCCAAGGTGATGGTCTTCCCGGTGAGGGTCTTAACAAAGATCTGCATACCACCACGGAGACGGAGCACGAGGTGGAGGGTGGATTCCTTCTGGATGTTATAGTCTGCAAGGGTGCGGCCATCCTCAAGCTGCTTTCCGGCGAAGATCAGACGCTGCTGATCCGGTGGGATTCCCTCCTTATCCTGGATCTTAGCCTTCACGTTATCAATCGTGTCAGAGCTCTCGACCTCAAGGGTAATCGTCTTGCCGGTGAGGGTTTTGACAAAGATCTGCATACCACCACGGAGACGGAGGACAAGGTGGAGGGTTGACTCCTTCTGGATGTTATAGTCGGCAAGAGTACGGCCGTCCTCGAGTTGCTTTCCAGCAAAGATCAAACGCTGCTGATCCGGAGGGATCCCTTCCTTGTCCTGGATCTTGGCCTTAACGTTGTCGATGGTGTCACTGCTTTCCACCTCAAGGGTGATCGTCTTGCCGGTGAGAGTCTTAACGAAGATCTGCATCTGTAAAATATTTACAACAAGTAAATCAGAACCAAAAGATAAAATTCCTGCTTCGGGGAATCCTGTTTGGATACCAGGAAAAAGAAAGAGGAAAATTCAACACACCTTGGAGAAAATGTACTTTACTTCGGGGTAAGGAAGATTGAGGTTTTTCTGATGAATGGAGAGTTAGGGATTGGGGATTGATATATAGGGGGATAAAGAAACCGGCTTCGTCAAGAAAACGGAAAAGCATTGCTGGTTCATCCAATCAGACCATGACACGTGTGGTTGTTTACCCTAGACATTACGCTAACGTTAGCGTCAGTGTTCCTTGGAATCCGATAATGTCAACGTCAGTTTGCAGGTCCACAGGCGTTATTAAAAAGACTTCTACTTTAACGGAGATAGGTTACTGGTTTTCTTTGATTAAATGTAAATTTTCATCTTTGTACTTTAAAATTTTATATGATTTTTTTTTTAATTTTTTAAAATATTTTTTAATCTTTTAATTAAAAAAATATTTTTTAATTTTTTATTGATTAATTTATTAAATTTATTTAAATACATATTTTTTTATTTTTTTATTTTTAATATATATATTTTTTGTTTCTTAATTTTAAATTAAAAGATTAAAAATTAATATTTAAATAAATTTAATGAATTAATTGATAAAATAATTTAAAATATATATTTTTTATAATTAAAAAACTAACAAATAAAAAAAAATTAAAAGATGAAAATTATATAAAATTTTAAAATTAAAAAATTTAAATGAACATTTAACTTTTTTTTTCTTTTTTTTTCTTTTTTTTTTTTTTTCTGAGATACAGGTTAGTGGATTTCCTTTTTTCTGTACATACACAGGTTACTGGTTTTTTTCGCGGATGTTGCAGAATCAAGTTGATAGCCGTTAGTGAAGTAGGCCACGTTTCCTGATGAATTCCGGTGGGCGCACGTGTTATTGTTGGGACCACCGCGATTTTTCGTTTTCCACTTGCAATCGGGCCTTTTAATAAGGTTGGTGGAGTAGCTACCGTCTTGACTTGGGCTGAGTTTGGTAAGGCTATGTATAATATTTTTTACAAACA